CTCTCCAAGCAAATGGTCGACAAGATGGACGAGCACCTCGTGGACCCGAGCCTCAAGCACTGGGTGCTTCCGTCCTTCTCGACAACGACCGACCACGACGTCATCGTCGCCAGCGTCGTGCTCATGGCCACGATGAAGAAGTACTTCACCTACAAGTTTAGCCTCTGCTGCGGCATTCCGCACGTGACGCTCCTCGGCACTGTCGACGATTGGCAAGACATTCGTCGTCGCCTCGACAAGCTCTCAACGTACGGCAAGCGCATGCAGCAGTGGACGACGATGCTGGCGCCGATCCTCGATCAGTTTGTGGCAGCGGCAAAAGGCCAAGCCGACGTAGAGTTCTGGGACCGCATCTGCAGCCACGAAGGCGGCGGCTCGGGCCCGAGCTACCTCAACGGCTGGATCAGCGTCTTTTGCGTCTTCAACGACAAAGGCGAATGGCAAGGCGACAAGATGACCGACACGGTGCTGCTGCGAAGGCCCGAGGCCAATCCGGATGATTGGTTTGATGTTGTTGAGACCGAAGTTACGTACGACTACCCGCTCGTCGACATGCAAGACATTCCGCCCGGGTACCTCACGGTCGACGTGACGATCGACGACAACGGAACCGAGTACAAGGCGCTCATGTTTGCGGGACACATGGCCTACAGCATTGGTGACAACAAGGCGTCGATCGCGCCGTCGCTGAGCTGGGCGATCGCGCTCAAGAACGGCGAGCGCATCAAGAGCGAAGTACCGAGTGAAGACGAGTCGCCAACCGTTCAACACGGCACACCCTTGGGACACGCCAAGGAAAGCAAACCGCGCAAGAGCTGCGTCATCTCGTGACAAGACCATATAGCTACTTGTACATAACCGATTTACTAGCAGCGCACGGCTAGGAATTAGTGCTCGCATACAATGTTACTTCATGAATAGAGAAAATATGTGCAAAAAGAAATTTCCGAGAGAAAGAGACTGAACAGAGAAGACAAGGCTGAATTGACAGCGACCGACCTTCACTCGCTGGCCAAAGTGCAAACGACCAGCATCGTCATTGGCGTTCATTCACTCAGTTCGATTTGCGTCATCATCATCATCGCAACATGGGCGTCCGGTACCTCCTCGTGCTCGACTTTGAAGCAACGTGCAGCGAGACACTGCCCCGAGACGAAATGGAGATCATCGAGTGGCCCGTCGTCGTCATCGACGTTGTCGCCAGGACAATCATTGCCGAGTTTCACTCGTATATTCGACCGACGCGGCACGGCGGTGTCTTGGCTCCGTTCTGCACCTCGCTCACGGGCATTTCCCAAGCGGTGGTCGATGGGGCGCCCGCTTTTTCAATCGTCTATCGAGACGCCCAAGCTTTCTGCGCTCCGTACCTCGAGGACGGACTCTTTGTCACGTGTGGCGACTGGGACCTCAACGCGATGCTGCCGACGCAGTGTCGATTCAGCGGCGCAGAGATTCCTGAAGCGTATACGCGCTGGGTCAACATCAAGTTTGCCTTCCGCGACTGGCAAGGTACGCGCGTGCGGGGCATGGCCGAGATGCTAGAGAAACTGGGCTTGCCGCTCGTGGGCCGGCACCACTCGGGCATCGACGACACGCGCAACATTGCCGCAATCGTCTTGCGCATGCTGGAAGGCGGCCACGACTTTGTTTACACCAGCGTCCTTCGGCAGCCCCGACACGGCAGACGTCGTACATAGTCCTACATGCCAATTAAACAGAGCATCTTTATGACGTTGTCATGAAATATCCTTATGACATAATCATGGCATACCTACGCCATGGGTGAATGAGCAACCGACGACGCGATGCATATCGTGCGAACGAGTGCTTGCTTGGTGCGACCGTGCAGCAAGACCAGTTTCGTCGTCCATTCTCTGATTCGCTGGCTGTATATTAATTCCACCAATCAACGCCGCTTCCATATTCCAATAGCCAATCACACGCCACGTCGTCGGACGCCAGCATATTGGCTGCCATGGGCAACCCCAAGCTCGAGCCCAACGCGTGGCTGGTCGT